ACTTTGTGGGGCAATTTTGTAAATATTATTACAAGACAAATAGTACTTTTATCATCTTTATATAGGGTTAAGTTGAAATTTTAACTAAAAGACAATAATACTCTACAAATAAAGTTTCATGACACTAACTTCAAAAATATCATTGTATTTTTGTGAAAATTTCAAATTTATCATTGCTTAATGGTAAAGTCACCTCTTTAAATAATTTTTTAATAAAAAAGTAATCATTGTTTTGATAAATACACCCATCACAACCCATTCTAACTTGAACCTTTATATTTTGAGGGGTTGTTCACTCTAGACAAACTCATATATTCCTCTTTGCTGTAGAATTTGGGTCCTAGAAGGATTCCTCAGACTCATCCCTTTTAATTAATAAAATATTGAATAATTGCTTTTTGACCTCAATGTCTATTTCAAGAGCATTTATTTTTTTGTTTACTCTACATTTATTTTTATAATGTTCAATTTCCCCACAGTTGTAACAAACTGATATTTTTCTCTTCCCTTTTTGTTTAAAAGAGTGATCATGTAAGAATTTTTTGAAAAAAGTATTTTTCTTTTCTCTTAAATAAATACTTTAAGTGATTTGGTAGTTTAAGTGATCATATACTCTGGTTTTTAGATTTATAAGTTCATTTCAAACTTCATTTAGCTCATTTTCTAGATCAAGGATTATAGGTTTTTTGTGGATTTGAGTTTTATTTTGAATTATTTTTAGGATATCTGTAAAACTATAATCTTCTCTAAGTACAAGAGAAAGTTTATAAGAACTAGATCCTACTTATATAATATATATAAAAGTGAGTTGGGCACAAAACATGGATCTAGATCCACCTAATAAACGCCGACTTTGTGTCTAACGCGGACATAACTGCATCAGGTCGGGTCGACCAAAGTTGACTGTATGCAGCCACAAGAATATACACAGCCACTATAAGTAAATTTGCTGCCTTATATAAACTTTTTCATATAGTAATATATACTTCAAATTTTAATATTTTGACTCAAACCAGACCCATCCTACGGGTCAGTTCCAGGTTGATCAACCTGGACCAGGTCAGACCCATATGAACCCTTGGACAATATTAAGATCCGGGCCTGGGCGCTTCCACCCCTACTTGTCATTCTACATGAAACCCCACTCCAGAGTTACTATTTATATTTTCTTTTTTTAATTTCAAGTCTCCATGTTACTTCATGGATTTTGTCCATTTGAGGCTTCAGACCAGTATTCTTGTACTTCAATATAATTGAGCAAGAAGAAAACAGGGGGAAGAAAACACGGCCAAATCAGGAACAATCAAATTCAAAGAAGCCAAATGCATTTATTTCTAAAATAGGTGGTAGTTCAGTAACTTCCTATAGCCTGCTAAAACAGTTAATGGCCCCACTTAAACTCCATGGACAGATTCTCAGTAAAATGCAGGAAGAAGCACTAGTCTCTATCTACTTTTACCACACCACACTAAACTGTGGCATGGAACCCTGCTGAATGTAGAAGCACTGCTTTGATCTCCTCTGGTAATACATCCGGGCCTTCCTTGCATTGCTGATAAGAACATACACACATTAGAAAATCTACATTTCTAGACTCAAATTAGCAAAATATAAAGGGTGTTTATAACATCAACATGATCATTGTTTAAATCGTAGTACACCGTATTAATGTGCATTTTGTTTGTTCCAAACTTCAGAAACTCGACTCGGCCAAGGGCTCCGAGCCGAGTAACTCCAACGAGTCCGAGTGGACTCGACCAACTCCTGTACCGGGCAAAAAAAGCTTGGAAAAAAGGGGGAAAAAAATGAAACATTAAAGAAGATGGGAAAGTAGAATAAAACTAAAAGCAATATTAAAACGTTCAGATAACCTTTAAAAAGTATGGGAGAAATGGATCCCCAAAAAACTGATTTATAGATGGAGAGATTTTAAAAAAATCCAAAACAATAAAATATTAAAATAGGGATTGTGGTAAAAAACACTTACCAATCATTTCCAAAAAAAATTCAAATCATATAAAAAAAAATTATGCACCATTTAACAATTTGTTTGAATTTTTTCATAATTTTTATGTACCCCGAGTTGTGGACAAAGTGGCAAAAAACCACTTACCAATCATTTCCAAAACAGCCAAATCATATAAAAAGAATTATGCAACATTTAACTATTCGTTCGAATTTTTTTCAAATTTTTTATGTACCCCTTGTTGTGCACAAAACTCAGACACACACCGGCATGTCCCAGAACCATGGTTTGTTCTTTCCCCTTAATTGTGAATAATAAAAAAATTTACGGTGTCTTTATGTGTAATATACTCACATAAGAATTTTACCAGTCATGTAAACAAATAAAATTAAATAAAAAATCCTATAGACTGTATGATTATCACGTTACGTACCAGGCCCAACATTGACCATCTATACTCATCCATAGGCCCTGGGAGATGAGTCGTTCTCTTCTTTCTAAGCCACCTTTTTCTTAACGGGTACAATTACGCATTGTGAACAATCGGGGTAAATATAGATGATGGATATTGGATATGAGTACCAAAATACTAAAGAGAAAACAATATCCATAGTTTTTTCTAATGCTTAAATCATGTCCCATGAGAGCAAACTTACACTTTCTCCCTCAAGCTAATGACCTCCTTACGAGAATTTGTTCATCTACGGTTTTCAACTTCACCGTAGAACAGTGTTTCAAAAGCGCTAGGTGAGTCCTAGGCGGCCTATGGGTTCCAAAACGCCCAACGCCTAGACGAATTGAATCAAAAAAGGATTCTACAATCTCTAACAGCATGATGAATGTTTTTACATGGGGCAATATCCCCTTTGTACAGAGAGGTTTCTTTAACCGGTTTATGCCTTTTTTTATATCCTTCTCACAAAACTTGTATTTTATGCAATTTTTATTATTAGAATTTGGGTTGTAGTCATATTTCCAACCAAGATTACCACTCCTATTAAATCTCGAAGAAGACATCTCAAAATAATACAATTTATACAAACAATAAAAAAAAATCACTTAGTTTGATTTCTCAATCTCCAAACTTCTACCTTAAAAATGTTTCTAAAGACTCAAAATCTTCTTAACAACCCCAATAGATTTATTAAACATCAAAAATTAAATCTAATATCATTGGGTGCCCTTCGATACTAAAAAAATCGCCAAAAATTAGTTTTTTTTGGAACTTTCTCTCTCTAAGATGGGCTCTAATGAGTTTTAGATTTCAAATGAACCTAAAACCCACATTTTTAAATCCCTAATATATATAAAAAAGACAAAAAATACCCCAACCGAGTGGATTTTCCGCCTTTGGCCTGGGGGCAATACCTGGGCGGCCGCCCAAGTCTAGGCACTGGGTGGCCGCCTAGGCGGGTCCACACAAGTCTGGGCGCTGGGTGGCCGCCTAGGCGGGTCCGCGGGGTGGCTGCCTAATCAGGTTCCTGAACGCCCCAGGTATGGCCCAAGCGCTGAGCGATCAACTTTTTGAAACAACGTTGTAGAATCAGTGCGTAGAAAGGGTGCAGTTGGCATACAGATGCATCTGTAGCTGTAGAGGTAAGATGCACCTTCAAATTTTATCATGGTATATATTATTGATATAAAATGTTTTTAGGATTATCTCAAAATCTATTACTATATCTATTTATAGAACTTTAAATTTCAAAAATGGTTAAAATCAAATAGATCTATAAACATATGAAAATCTTGAAAATGGACGGTATAGATAATACGTTGTAAAATGCACTATTTCGAGACTTAAAATCTTTTTATTTTTCATGGTCATACATCTCGATGTCGAGATGATCAATCAAAGGGTATTTCAACATTAAAACTATATTTTTGAAGTGGAGGTAAGGTTGCAACCTTATATAAACTTTTTCCTTTTAAAAAATACCTCAACACAAAAGAATTGGACAGTCTGTGCACAATACTAGGGTGTAATTCTTTCATTCAGTTCAAGGATGCATATTGAAGTTCTTTTTCAGGTGGTCCCTTAGAGAGTAGGTCACATCATCATATTTTGGGGTCCTAAAAATACTCTTAGCTAGGGTTTACCTGAGGGAGTAAATGTACACTTTGCTACCACATGAGCATATGTTCTTTTGAGTTTTTTATTTATTGAAGTGTACAATATATATCGTGTCCCGAAAATGGCCAATATACGATGCTATTGTGTCAACACCTAACAAACGTCCATTTCTCTTTGAACAAATTTCCATCATTCCCCTACCAAGTACTCAAAATTGTAACCCTCAAGAAAAAAAATGCAGAAATAAAAGTAGAACTTTCTTGGAGTGTACCTCAGCTCGAAAGACATCCAAAGCGAACCCATTGAAGCAGCTGATGACTGCTTGCTGAATGTCAAGCCCAAGACCGTCGAGCGCTCTCATTGTAGAGAGGAGGAGGCCCGGTCTCCTAGCACAAAACATGTGTATGTTTACTGCTCTCCCTTCTCTTACCCTCACCTCCACCTATATTCATATATGCACAAACAAAATACACCATTGATATTAAAAGAGAGCAAAAGATTTGATTTGACATAGGTCATCTAGATATCATAATATTGAAAGAGAACTATGAGAGAGAACCATGCATGAGAGGAAACTTGAAGCATAAAGATTCAAGACCACTTTCAAATGATATCAGAAAAGCAAAGTTCAGTTATGAGTTTGTCGAGGCAAAAAATGCTAAATGTGTGCGTATGTGTGTTTGGCTATATGTCCACTGAACAGTTTGATAAGGAAAAGAGAGCTAAATGTGTGTGTGGGTGTGAGAATTCACTGAACTTACTAAATGTGTTTGTGCGTGTGTGTGTGTGTGTGAGAGAGAGAGGCCGTTATGTTACCCGTGCAGGTTGGCTATTAGGACTAGGCAGTGAACTTGGACAAAGTTCCTCCTTTACACGACATGGAAGAGTAGGAGGTGTAGGTGTCAATGGGTGGAAGTTTGCAGTAGAAGGCAGTGAAGAACCAGAAGGCGTTGATTCGAGTTCACTATGAAGGTCATTGATCCTTTGTAGAAGCTCCTTCAAGTACTCTATCGCATCTCCCAGAATGGAGGCTCTATCCATCTGAAGTACAATGGAAAATTGAGACATTAAAGAGAAAAAAAAAGAAAAAAAAAAAAGCATAATTAGCTTCATATCAACAGGTTGCTGCTGAAAAAGTTTTCAGGGGATAATATAAGCCCAACTCCGTTTTAAGGGGCTAATATAATCCATACATACACACGCACACATACACACGCACACGCACACGCACACATACACATACACATACACATACACATACACACTACACATACACATACACATACACATACACATACACATACACACGCACACATATGTATGTGGACACAGGGTGTCACACACACACACAGTGGGGGGGGGGGAGGGGGAGGAGAGAGAGAGAGAGAGAGATCAACAAGGTCCCCACAGAAAGAAAAGCTGACAATGAAACAAATGGTCATGAGAGTGCAAATACTCCCAACCATAGTATAACGTCCATGAGTGCGCTATGAGAAATACGCAAATGAATACAAAAAGGAAAACTGCACCATATGCATACAATAATTGCATAGAGGTACAGCCCAGACCATCAGTAGACATACAGACCAAACAAAAGGAGCTGTCTCCATTCAACATATAAAATAATAAAAGAGAGTCTGAAAATAATATATAATTCTGGTGTAGGAGGATAAATTTACAGTTGCATGAATACAATCAGGGCCTCAAATTCAATAGCCCACATCACTTCATCAATTCTCATTCTAAAGACACTAGTGTTTTTAGATGCAGAAAAGCACAATAAATGTACTGAGCATCTTATTATCTGATGATACTAAGAGTCCAGAGCTCTAAAAAGAATAAGAAAATGAACTTGAAAATCTCTAGGACAGAGGAGAAAACAGAAGCCACAAAGTATGCATTTATAGCCACAATTACTACACAAATGTAGACTGAAGGAGCAGAATCAAAAGTACAAAGCTAAAACAACAAAAAAAGAAGAGGCCACTTCAGATTGAAATTTTAGGGGATACACAAGGCTAAGAGTCATTGAATGGCTTTAAGAAGTACGTTACGTCGGTGAAGTTTGAAAGTTATAACCCCCAACAAGTACAGAAATGATTAAGGTCACAACCAAAAGTGAATTAAAATATGACAGAACTGGAGAGAGAGAGAGAGAGAGATGCCCTTACACCTTTTACATGACAAGTATAATGAGAATTGTATAATATAAATTATACATCCAAGAGAGAGATTGTATATCTTCAATTCTACAACTTCCATGGCAGAGAGAGGAATATTAATCTAACCATAGCATAATAAGGCTTCATATGACACTCATACAAACAACATCCATGAGAGAGAGTATTATTATATATGAGGGAACCTCCCAATATACAAAATCCATGTGAGAGACATAGTTTTATATAAGTCTAGGGATACAACTTCCATATGAGAGAGGGAGAGAAACATTTCTATGACTCCAAAGTCTAAACACAGATCTTCCACAAATTCACAAAATGAAAACAAAAACAGACAGGCATAAGCATGATTAACCCATAACCAAAACCTCAAATTCAAAGAGCATATAGTCATGAAAGAGAGCTCACCTTGCTGATCTTGGGGACAACGGACCGGAGCATATAAAGCCGATCATTGAGCTTCTTCCTACGCCTCCTCTCGGCCATGAGATTCTTAGCAGGCAACCCCTTCTTCTTTCCCTTTTGATCTCCAACCCCAACAACTCCATTACCATTACTATTATTATTGACACTACTGCCCCCCTTTTGCAAAAAATCACCATTCTCGTCAATCCTAACATCAGTTGGCTCATCAGAATCATATTGTAAGCCTGACCCATCAACACTACCCTCCTCTATCTCCTCCTCATCATTCTTCCTTCTCTCTTCCGCTTCATTTGAACCCTGAAACCTGGTTGGTATTCCTAAATTTGCATTTGATACCTGTAAGTTCCCCAAATTTTCGGGCAAGCCCCCAAGGTTCTGCCTAAGAGCTGCTCTTTTTTGAAACAGAGTGGGTTGAGTCCCAACTGAAGGGAAAATTTCGAGGGGTCGCAGAATTTTAGACCGGTTGAGAGAGAGAAAGTCACCATTTTGAGGGCAAAGGCCAAGGTTTGATGGTGCAAAGCTCTGGTTTTCACAGAGAGGGAGAAGACGCGAACTTGGGTGAGCCAATTGGCCTTGTGGGTTCATACTGGGCGCACCCATTTGGCTAGGTGGGCTCATGTTTGCAAAACCAGTCACTACACCTCTGTTCATTAAGGAATTTGAATGGTGGGTTCCCTGTAATGGGGTTGTTAAACCAGAGAGGAAGCTTGGTTCGCATGATAAATCGAGGTTGTTCTCAAATGGGTCGGAGCAAACAGCGTTGATGAGAGAGGAAAGGCAAGATTTGGGTACTCCTTGAGAGAGAAAGGGGTGAACTTGGTTTGGGTCCATAGAGAAGACTGAGGAAGGGGAGCAAGAAGAAGAGGAATCAACTGCTTGTAAAAGCATGGGTTCAGTTGGGTTTGAGCTCACCATTGAGGCAGAGGAGAAGCCAAGGTCTTTGATTTCATGGTGGGATTGAATGTTACTGCTATTGTGAAGATACCAGTCGTCTTCAAGCATGGATTTGAAGGTGCCAAGCCCCATCTCATCCTTGTTTTCGCCATTAATAGCTTCTCTGGTCCATGAAGCGGCGTCCTCCTCGACATCTCCCTGTTCTTCCATCCAAACCACGCCATTAACCCTCGAAAGCATGTCTCTCTCCACTGTTTCTCTCTGCTGCTCCCGCCTCTCTTTCTTCTCTCAAAGTTCGGTTTTTCAGGAACGGAGATAACACAAGGAAAACCCAGTTGCTTTTTCCTCCTCTTTTACTGGGTTTTCAGAATAAGCAAAAAACCAGCTGCTCCCTCTGTTTCTCTCCCTTCTTTTTGTGGCACTTTTTTTATGGAGGAGAGAGATAAATCTAGAAAGAGAAACCAATTGCACACTGTTTCTCTTTGCTCTTTTATACAGGGGTTTCAAAGAGAAGAGAGAAAAACCCAAATGAAAACCCACTGGTCTCTCTCTTCTCTCCAGCTAGAGTTCCCAATGGGATTCTCTAACAAAACTGTTTCAGTAGAGAGAGAAATAGAGCCATTTTTAGAGAGAGAAAGAGAGGTTCGCCCAATGCGTATTTGGAGGAGTTAGAGAGAAAGAAGACTGTGTAGAAGGGATAACCCAGAGGGTGGCCCGGTTATCAGTATATAGCCGTGACAAGAAGAAAGTACGAAAATACCCTTTGTTTTCTTTCTCTCTCTCTAGAAAATATTAATGGTTCTTTCTCTCTCTAGAAAATACTAATCGCTCTTTCTCTCTTTCTAAAAAAATACTTAGACCCAAATGGTCTCTATTGAAATATCCAAATAAATAGATAATGAAGTTTGTAGAGGTAGTCTAGAGAGAGAGAGATTTTAGAGAGAGAAAGATTTTCATAATAAATGATTAGTTAATGAAGGGTGAGTTGATGGCTTGATTTTTGGTGCGCTTTTTGGTCTCATACCAAATCAAATCATGAAGTTATAAAGAGGTTGTGTCCCACTATTAAGGCCATTTTCGTCACTACTTTATTTTATTTTTTTGGTTTCCTAATTGAAAGTTGCACAATTTCGAATTCCAAACGAAAAATATTGAGTCATTTTTCTCATTAATGGAACCGCCTTTCTCAAATTTAGTTTCTCTTACCGCAAACGAAAATGGTTTTATGGAGCTGCAGCCCCATGAAAATAAGTAAATCCTTACCTCTTAACTCATTGAAAATTATAATTCAAGCATTAAAAAACTTCTACATTATGGTTGCGAAAAAATTAGAACTCTAAGCTCTGAAAATATAGAACTCATCTCGGCTTCAACATTATGGTTGTGAAAAAATTAGAACTCTAAGCTCTGAAAATAGTGTGTATTTTAATAAATTATCTAGACTGTCAATTTCGACTTAAAAATAAATGTTCAAGGATCTGCAATATCTATACACTTTTTTAGTTTCAAAATTTATTGTTGATGTTCGAAATTGATTTTGGAGCTATTATGAAGATTTTTGTTGTAAAAAATGTTTCATAGATGAGGATTTGAGATGAGTCTTTATTTGATTTTCATTTAAAAACAAACTTCATCTTTTTTTGAGAGAAACTTATCAAAATGCATTTAAGAGATAAATATTTAATAATTTATTCAATTTTTTAATTTGAAAAACTCATTAAAATCATTTGTTTGAACAATTAAATATGAGCTTAGTGCTAAATATTTGATAAGTGACATGTATTTTGGTAAGTCCCTTAATGAAAACTCAATGGGTGTTGTTTCTATACAAAATTAATACCCAATATATGGAAAATAGAGGTAAAGATACAAAATAAAATAATGAGATGGCAAAAGTGAAAATAATAGTATATAAAAAATTACAGCTTTCAAAAATTCAAGCCAATAATTAATGTGGGGAAAAACTAAGAAGCAAACAGCACTTCTCAAAAACTTTCAGTTTGTTTCCGGCAAATGGGGCCTTGGGGCCAACAAGTGGGCACCCCCGCCCTCTCGTCCCTTTCCTTGCCGTTGCCCATCTAAGGCCCACCAAAATTTCTTCAAGGACTACCACTGTTAATTTCTTTGAAACCTTAAAATTTAAAATTTATAGATGTGAGATAATATTTGAGGTATCAATCAATAAATATTTTCAAGGAGGTCAAATTATATATAAGAAATTTTTGAAATGGGCAAAACAGTCCCGCATGTTTGAAGCATGAAGTCCCTCGTATTAACATATTATCGAATTGATCATTTCGGCCACGACGATCATAAATGTAAATAAAACTTTTTTTTAGGCCCTAAAAATATTGTACCTCATGACATGTCTTCTTGATCATCCATTTTCAAATGGTCATAAAAACCCCATATTTGCACTAATTTTGAAACTTCAGATTTTACAATTAAAGGAAAATATATATTTTCCAACCATCATAGGATTTTCAACGTGGAAAGCACCTTTTATTTTTTTGGAAAATGTTTTGATAGAGTTGTCACTCAAATTTGCAATTCTGACATTAGAAAACGTTAAATAACTATTGTCCATGTCACTGCATCTTTTGTCTTTCTTTTTTCTTCTTTTTATCTATGATCATGAGGTGCAGTTGTTAAGACGCGACCTAACAACTAATTGTACACAACCCAAGGTAAACTAGATAAATCCACCAAGTCCCACACTCCTGTGAGGTATATGGTACATCCCTTTAAAATCCACCAAGTCCCACACTCCTGTGAGGTATATGGTACACCCCTTTAAAATCCACCATCCAATTCTACCAACTAACGTTGGAGATTAACCATGTAATAGACATTCACTGGATCAAAGTTAATCTCCACTATCCATCATCGGAGCAGATGACAGATGCTTTTGAACCGTCATAATCATAAAGCACGTGCTATAAGTGTGTTGTTGTAGCATTGGTGTAGCTTATTTTTGGGAATTTAGATCCAAGGAAAAAGTTTACAAAGAGTCTGGGCTCTAAACAATCAAATTAGATTCTATCTCAAAATTTTTACTAGAATAGGTTGTTTTGATGCCCAAATGTCTTCAAATTGATCAGCTCGATATCAAGATGTACGGACATGAGAAAAACATGGATTTTAAGTTTTGAAAATAGTGCATCTTGTAACGCATTTTTTAACTGTCAATTTTCAAGTTTGCATAGATATGCTCGATCTATGCTACTTTTGAGGCTTTAAATCTTATAATTAAATATAAAATATATTTTAAAGCTGTCATAAAGATTTCCAGTATTGAAACCACATTTCTCGACATTATTTCGAAAGTGGGCTCTAATTTGATTGTTTAGAGCCTCGACTCTATACAAACCGTACCCTTTTTATCTAATTATATTAAAGATTTAAACAATTTAACATCTTAATAATAATTTTAAATCTAAATATAATTAGCTTGTCATGATCAATTTTCAAATATCCGATCAAATGACACATCAAAATGAGCTAAAATAAACAATCGCATAATATACAAACAATCCGTGTGATAAATATCTCTTTATTTCCTTTCTCCGACTTTTGAAATTTCGAAGGATAGGAAAAGGGAAGAGAGGCCTTGGAGTTATTAAATTGCAACGGAGGATAAATTCGTAATTGTTTGGAATGAAGGTTGGCGAGGTGTAGAGGGCTTGTTAGCTGGAAGCGGGGCCTGTGTCGATCTGACGAAACGCTAACGGGCGATTTTAGGGCAGTGCCTTTAACGACCCATGACCTCACCTCTCTCTCTCTCTCTCTCTTCTTCTCTTTATCTCTCTATTCTCTCTCTCTCTACTCTCACTATCACTCTCACTCATCTCTTTCTTGTAACATGCATTACTATCTTCTA